CCATCATGCCCCCTCTAGACCTTCTCTTCTGGAAGCTAAGCATTTCTACATCTTTTAATCGTTCCTTGTAGGACTTGGTTTCCATCCTTTCACCATCTTAGTAACCCTTCTTTGAACTTGCTCCAGTTTATTTTTTAAATAGTCTTTTTTAAATTGGGATGTGCAGAACGAACAAAGTACTTCAGGTGAAGCCTGACCAAGGCAGAGAAGAGCCAGATAATCATTTCTTTGGGGTTTCAATCTTCAATCCAGCAATGTGGAGGAAGCCAGAGTATTGTGCAGGGAGCAGGGAATGTGTCTTACACCTTCCTATGTGACCAAAAATCATGGGTGAGTTCACCAGAGAGAATGGAATGACTTTCTGAGGAAGCATACTTAAGACGCAAGCTGGTGAAATTGAAACAGTGTGCCCTGATCCTGATAAAGGCCACATTAATTATGTAGAAGGTTTCATGAGATGTAACTGAGGTGGAAAGGGACTAGATTTTTCCACTTGATCCACTTGTCAGATCTACCTATACTTCTGATGTATACAAGCAGGGAATCACATAATTCAGCACGCTTATAGATACAGTCATGAAGTTCATGTTTAGAAGGATTACATCCTGAAATCCAGTCTAAACATCTGGTTGACTGTGCAACCATGATGATGATGATAGGCAAAAAACATCTGGATAGTGGACATTGTAGTACATGGAGACAGCTGAATAGAAGAGAAAGAACTGGAGAAAATCACAAAATACAAAGACCTGCAAATAGAAATAGAACAACTGTGGCAAAAGAAAGCAAAGATCGTACCAATAGTAATAGGCACACTGGGTGCAATCCCAAAACATTTGGAGCTCCATTTGAAGACCACTGGCATTGATAAAATCACCATCAGTCAGTTGCAAAAGGCAGCTTTACTTGGAACAGCTTACATCCCGCAACAATACCGTTAACACCATCAAATAAAAACATCTGCCTATCCCAGATCTTTGGGAAAGACTCGATAGGTGGATAAAAATGCTAAATCCAGTCTAAACATCTGGCTGACTGTGCGACCAGCAATAATACCTTAATTTATTATCCTCAAATTGTGAGACAGGGAAACAGAAAGATTGGCATAGTATATTTAAGTGTTATTTTCCTCTTCTAGCTTTCTAATATAGCACAAAAATAGTATCATATTCACTGTAAGACACAAATGTACCCTGGCTCCTAATTTTCACTTTTTCTTTTTTTAATCTCCAGTAATGCAAAACTTCTGTTCATAAAACATCTGCTCAAAATATTCAAGTTATACATCAAGGGTAGCCTTTTTTATTTTAAAAAAATTGTTGAACAGATATTTTAAAAATGTTTGGCAGCAACCGTTGCAACATACAAAACATTTGTATTACACTGATCAACATCAAACTAGAAAGTGCATTTACTCATCACCACCAGAGAGCTGGCCAGTCAGAAAAGTGAGGGCCGCATCTCAGAAAAATGCTGTGCAACATAGCAATGCAAGTGAAAGGCCTTAGTCACAAAAGGACAACACCCCAACCCCATCAGAGTCAATGCTACACTGCCTGTTCACTTAGGTGTCCTTGAGTGCACACAGCCTCGATTCCAGTTCCTGGATAAACAAGGTCATTTATCATTTCAGAACCTACATGAGAAGTAGCATCATATTTATGTCCTTTGATGCAAGAAGTGGGTCGGGAATATACTAGCTGTGAGTTGATTTACACATGCTTGCTGGTCACCTGATGACTGCTGCATCAAGGGTTCTCTGCAGATGTGGACACCAGACACACAATTTTCATTGATTCAAGTACAATACTTACAAAGGCCTGGGAAACCATGGTTACCTGCCAAGTAAATGAACCATGGTCAATTTTAGGATCACCCTGTCCCTTTCCCACCCACTTTTCTTATTGCAGGGGGAGATCAAAGGCCTTCATGTTCAGTTTTAAATAAACAAACCATAGTCCCCCTGTATATTCAAACTCAGAAAGTGATTTCTTTAAAACACTACTTTAATTCAAATCAGGACCAAATCATCTTAGGTGGTTTCCTAACTGCAATTTAAATGAACGATTAACTCTTACAGTTTGATATCCTGGGGCACTGTGATTTGTTTAAACTGGAATTGCAGCCCTGCTTTCTCCTTTTGGCCCCAGTGGAAATAAAGGAGGATGCAAACCTGAAGGGCACAGCACGATGTCCTAGCTCATTTTATCTCAAGCAGACCTGAGTCCCTTAACATGCTCAGCCACCACGAACTGAACACTGAATAATTAAGTGTTGCGTCTGTATATAAGACTGTGTATAAGTCTGTTGCTTATGAGCTACAGATAAAAACTCGTATCAAAAACTTTTTAATATGAATACTATACGTTTTATTTCAGCTGTACACTAGGGGTGTTATATTCCACACTTAGTGTACAGTGTCTTTGCGCCTTTAACAGTATTAAGCAAGTATGAGATGTGTTTGTTTTTTGGGAAACAGAAAAAACATGCTTCTAGTTCTTCTGAACATGGACATTTTGGGAAGTACGTGTGCAATAGTTGCTAAAATCTCATTTGATCTGGAATTGAGCGGAGAGTCACTATTTCATGGCAATATATTGGCGCCTGTATGCAGAGCTGGATGAACCAATGAAACCTAAATTTGGTTTTCTTCTGTTGGATCACAAGAGAAACAAACATTTTACTGGATCTTAAAGATAAAAACATACCTGATTTTGTTCTTCATCCAAGTAAAGTGCTTCACAGAATTATTCTGCTGTTCAAAATGTAAGATCTAGCAAGAACTAATACTATAAAATCCCCATTATGTGAAAAAGACGACTTGCACATGCACCAAAGAAAGGTTTTCACTCTCAGAAGACCAACTGAGATTAAAACTCCAACAATGAATGAGGCAATAAGCAGCAGAGCAGCAAGCTGTGTTAGATCTCTAGTCAGAAAGCACTAAATGGGCTTGTTTTCTAATAATTACATGCACTTCTTCCACAGGAAAGAAATGCTGTAATCTTGTGTCCCCTCTAAATTTCCTCTCTTGAATTGATGCATAGATCCCTACCCAGATCCACGTGAGTTCAACCGATTGCATCCTATGTCCTTTATTTTGCTGGCTGGGGCATCCAGGGGAAGGGGTCAAAAATGTCAAGGTGGCAGCTACTTGTCCAATGTTTACGTGGTTGCCATTTTTACTTTTTTGATCTCTGATGGACACCCTTTTGCTTGAATCAACGTCTGTTCCTAGCATACAGTACATCACCATTTAAATGTTATGGTGAGTAAAGACAATTCAACACCCTAATTTCAGAGCCATTAATTTAGCAAACTAGAAGTCCTTTCCTTTCCTCTTTAGTTATTTACATTTAAAAATGCTGCAGGCCATTCTACCATTTTTAAGGAAGTTATCATAAAAAGATAATCACAAATACGTGGTAGCTAATATGCAGGACAGCTGGTTCTAATCATGGTTCATCCCTGCAAAGAGGGCTGATCCTAATGATCACATCAGAAAAGGACAGGTTCTGCTGGGGACGCACAAAGATACCCCAATATTTAGCTGCTACATCAGAGATGCTTTTTACTACAACATTTTATTTCTCCCTTGGATTTGACTGCCAGTTCTTCAATTCTACAAGAGGAAAGTGAAAGGGTTAATTCAGGAACATATTTGGGGCCAGGATTAAAGCTGTCCTGCAAATGAAGTGACCATATCATTTTGAAGGAAAGAGAGTTTTGTATATTCACAACCCGCTTCCAACTGCAGCCTGTTTATTGTGCAACATAAAACTTGATGGGCACCACGGCAAATCAACCCTCTATTTCAGTGTCTCTCAACCTTGGCAACTTTAAGAATATATGAACTTCAACTCCCAGAATTCTGGTAGTTGAAGTCCACATATTTTAAAGTTGCTAAGGTTGAGAAACATTGCTCTATTTCTTAGGACAGAAAGTTCAGGCAAAATTAATAGGGACACCAAAAGTATAGATGCTAAATTTATCTTTTAGCATTGAAAAACACTCACGTATCAGTGATGCCGTGCCTCCTTTAGCAATCTTGCCACTTATCCTCCATTTACTTTATGACACTGAACTGAATGGGAGCATTCAAAATTGGAATCCATTCTACTTGTCCAACATTCCATTTCTTGGTCATACTAAAATGCAGAGACAGAAGAACTGTCTCTTATTGCAAATGTGAAATAAACTACAGAACTTGGGAAGCTCTAGAAGATGCCATCCCATTTTGCTTTCTGTGCAGTCCGTGAAATTTATTGAAATCTGGCACTCTGCAGGACTCAGCACCATTATTCAGTTAAATCTAGCAACATGCAGAATATGCGCACTTGTGGAATCTTCCAAGAGGGAGGAGAACTAAAAATCCCTGCTCATATGGGATTCTGCTTGTGTGTTTAAATCTCATGGAACTTTGGATTGTGGTAATTACTGGATAACTGGATGTGTAACTCTTGGGCATCACGCATGAGACTGATACAAGCCCAGATCTGAATAAGCAAGAACCAAATTTTGGGTATCTCTGGGTGAAGAATAGAACTGTAACTTCTGCAATGAAACTAACATGGAGAAATAGCTTCCCTTCTTTTTTAGTGCCAAATCTCCTAAACCTCAATTACTAAGTTAGAATCTGAAGGGCCAGCTTGTTTCATCTGTGCTGTCCCACAATAAACAGGGAAATTGGATCCACAGCATGATTTGATTCAAGTGAGACTAAAACCCTTTTGAGTGAATGAATGTCTTGAGGTTGCCAATTTGACTTCTTTTTCAATAACCCAAAGCTTAGAAGGACCAGGGGAAGAACAGCTCTCTAAAGGAAAATACCATGTGAAATAATCCAGTCCAATCCTAGTTCCAAAGCCTTGGGAAAAATATTTACCTTTCCTTTCCTCTTACCATGAGCAGCAGTTACCTTTAAAGCAATGATTTTTCTTACAACACAAAAATGTTTTTCATATCCATTGCTCTCTTTTCAGAAACACTTATCACAAGGCCCCTTTAAACTCACTTTATATAATGTACTAGCCAGGCTTGCTGGGATTCATCAATTAAAAAATACATGTGTGCACCTTAAAATACATTTATAACTCCAGTCAAAGCTCAGTGTTGTAGTTATGGGGCAAATCAGATGGAAAAATCAGCATTCCCAGAGCTGGGTAGCCCCAGATGTTTTAGACAACTCCCACCAGCCCTGAACAGCATGTGAAAAGTTCAAGGATGGTGGAAATGGCAGCCCAAAACATCTAGAGAAGTATAGAGGCTGGGAAAGGTTGCTTTAGGGAACTGGTATCAATTATAGTTTCTGATTTGGAAGGGGTGGCTTGAGTGAAATGTCTTCAGCTGGTCCTATTCCTTGCAGAGGAACATATTCTTGCTTCTTTAAACACAGCTTCCTTCCTCTCTCTCTCCGTCCCTCTGGGGATCAGCAATGAGCCACCTGTTCTATTAGGGATCTTAGCAGCTACCTTATAGATTGCTCTCATTATGAGTGATCTTATCATTGAGGAATACTCATGAAGCATCTAAGAAACTCAAGAACTCCACACAAGACAGTCTGCAAATCACTGGTGAAAAGGAATGGAACTTCAGAAATGGTGAAGAAATGGTCCTTAATGGTGATGCAAATGCCTATCCAACAGTATACCTCAATTCAGCAGGATTCAGCTGATGAACATGAGTCTCTATACATTTGTTCTTTTTCTTGATAACTTAGGATGGGAGAACCTTCTAGTCATAAGTTAGGAGTTTTAGTCAATAATTAAGCAATGATTCTGCAGGGGCTGTATTGGACAGGTCTACAGAGTAGTCAGTTAACAGTGTTGGTCAGGATGCCCTCTAGTATGGAGAAAGTCACAGTCTTCCCAATCATTCCCTTGACTGATAAAATAAAATATATCCAGATTCTGAATTTTTTGATATATCAGAAGTCAGGCCATAGAATTCTTCAATAGCTTGTGCATCAATTTTCTGGGGAGAGAAAAGAAGAAAAGAGAAGCTATCAAACAGTTCAAGATTGCTATAAACACATGATATCAATTTCAGCAATGTGATCTGGCCTCAGGTTTCAGCAAACTAGATGACCAGGTGCAAAATGGTTAGCTAATTCTTTCCAAACACTTTGTACTTGCAATATAAACAGAAAATTGTTCCTCATTGTTGGAAAGAAGGTGATTAGTTGATATCTCTGGTCTGAAAGTCTTACAACTCAAATTTCATTAAGCTTGGCTTCATCAAAGTCTTTTATGTGAATTCAACTGATTCTTGGCAAAAATTTCTTTTGCCTCTTCTCCATAACAATGATATATTAGTATAATGATTCCTGATTTGATAACATTATTGCAGTCAGTGACATGTGACAAAAAGACATAAAACAATACAAAAAGAATTTTTTACATAATCCTTAAATTAAGACAATATTTTCCTGTGTAAAGCAATGGCAGCTGTAAGAAATTTTGCAGCCCTTCTGCAGATGATTCTGATAATAGAAACAAATAAAATCATACTCAGAACTTCTGAGGTGAACTTCCATTAGCAAGCAGAGTTATAAGGGTAGGGTATAAATTGCTGTAAAGGGTCAGGGGTATCCTCATGGTATGGTCAGAAAAGGTTCTATTCCTTAGAAAAGTATTTCTCAACCTTGTCAACTTTAATATGTGTGGACTTCAACTCCCAGAATTCCCTAGCCTGCATGCTGACTGGAGAATTCTGGGAGTTGAAGTCCACACACCTTAAAATTGACAAGGTTGAGAAACACGGTCTTAGAACAAGGACACTATTTTCAGCAAGTTAAATGCTGTGTCACATAAACAGGCTCTGTAGTTTTGCTTAAAATCGTTGGTGTACTAACCTCTACAATATCATCATCAAACAAAAGCCAGAAGCCATGACTTTTCACAATGGTGATATAGTGTCCACGGTTAGGGCCACTAAAAAGGAAGAAAGGAAGAAAAAGCCACAAATTTAAAACACAGAGAAATCCTGGAGAATTTCCTAAACATAAAAGTAAAACAAGAAACATCCACGCTGACATCCTCTTCTTCCTAGAAGGTTGCTGCAGAAGCCAAGAGTGACAGTGAATCTCTTTCTCCCTCCCTCTTTCATACATGAGTAGCGAGGTCTGCAGCTAAAAGTTCTCCATACAAGCCTCCATCTTCAATTGTTCTAATGGTAAATGGACCAAAAAAGGGAAGGAGTACGGAAGACACAGGAGGGAAGGTGTGCCTTCAAGTCAGTCTTGACTCCTGGCAACCACCTGGACAAGTCCCTGCAGTTTTCTTGGCAACATTTATGGAAGTGCCTTGCCATGGCCTTCTTCCTAGGGCTGAGAGAAAGTGACTGGTCCAAAGTTACCCAGATAGCTAGCTTTACACCTAAGGTGGGACTAGAATCATGGTCTGCTGGTTTCTAAATTGGTACCTTAACCACTGTACCAAACTGGCTCTCCAGACCATTTACATTTACAGACTTCATTTCTCCTCCTCCTGCCATCTTGCACGTATGAGCTCAAGAGGCCTCTCACTGGCACTTGTCTCTTCCTCCATCTCCACTTATTAACATACAGACACAGAACATATCTAAATACTTTGAAAGAGATGTTTAGACAACAGTGATCTGGGATGTTAGAACAGGCAGGGATGACTGAATCCTACCCAACAGTCCCATGAACGTATCAGACAGATGCAGGGAGACTAAAGTAGCGCCCTTCTGCTAGACTGCCTGACCAGGCTGAGTTGAGTAAAGAGAGGAGGGCTGTGCTGTGCAGTCCAGATTGAGTATACTAAAAAAAAAACCCCAAATGGCTCTTTAAACATTACACCCAACATCTAGTTTTCAGTGTGGAGGAATGTTGTTACATAGAGTATTCAGCCACCCCTTTTTAAACACAGTGTATACAGCCAAACTGTGAGGCCAGCTTCCTCCCAGTCTTCCTACTGGATTAAGAAACCATTTGCAAACCGATTCAGCTGATAAATTTGTTTTCTCCCCAGAGCCTGCTCCAGCCTTTGCAACTGGCACTGAATGGGCCTTTTCCTTAGAGAATCTATCTTCTCGCCACTGTAGCTGTTAGCCATCATCAGCTGGTGTCAGTTATGCTTCAACGCCCAGAGTTGTTTAAGAAGGCAGCATAGAAAAGTTGTACGATAAATAAATACATAAATAAAATGCATTCCCCACTTTCTCATTATTTCTATCAACTGTTTGCTTACCACCCGGAGTGTCTGCGGGGAGGGGAGGGTGGTGTCAAAAAATTCAAGGTCTCCTCCCAAGTGCTGATTTTCCATGTCATGCAGACTTTCCATGTCATGTAAGACTTTCTGATCTTTTTAAAAGACCATGTGGACTTCTGCATATTGCCTTATTCATTTAAAACAAACAGAAAACTCCTTCACTGAAAAACTACATTTGAATCTTTATTTTTGTTAGGGACTTAATCATCTCTTTGCACCTAAGGGCTATTTGGACCATAAGAGCCAATGATGAGAGACAGATCAAGGGTGGGATCTTCACATGCTGGTCCTGTGTCTATTTCTCACCTGGCCTATTGTTAGTGAAAGGAATCTCTGGATTTAAGAATCAAAGGAAATGCCCTGTCTCTGTCTCTGATTTTCCACTCCCCAAGATGTAATTTAGATTGAAGTGAGTTTTCTCTGTCTTCAGGCATCTCTTCATAAACCTAGCTTTTATTCTGAATACAATACAATTCTGCTACCCCTGGATGGTAAGCGAGCTACCTGCAACCAGATCAACTATTATCATATGCATATTATTTTACTTTTAATGTGATGTTATGCAACTTCATTACTCATTATTCTTTCAACCCTCAACTTATGCACAGGAGCATATTTTCTAACAAGGGCTCTTAATTCAAATCTCCACCATCTTATTCCTGGCACTGAAGACACCAAACATTATGGGTGATTATCCAAAGCATCCAAGGCAAATTTGCAAAACTCTTGAACCCCTGAGTCCCCACCCCAGGCAGTGAGAAAATGTGACCTGGAGAAAAATAAGGCATTTTGGACTGAGTATCACAAGTGTTCTTATATTAACAAACTGCTCAGAAACTGAAGTAGCTGTCTTCCTGTTTGGCAGAATGAGACCAGAATGCCTAGTCCAGCATTCTGCACCTAGCAATCAGCCATCAGTTATCTGAAGAAGCTTAAAAACAGAGCATGAATGAGTGTACTTTTCCTCAACTTTTTGTCTCCAGCACAAATATTTCTTTCCTTCCTTCTCACCAGGTCAGTCTGTAGTCCTCTAAAAGATAAGATAGCAGTTGATGTAGAAAACATCTGTCTGACAGCTGTTATCAAGCTAAGCCATGCTCCTAGACTAGGTAGAAGGCTCCATTCAATGCTTTCATGATAGGAAGGGAAATCCAACTTTGGGGAATGTGCAAAAGGGATAAGCTACTTCTATGAAAAGGTTCATTTCCAAACCTGAGCATTTTACAGGTACATGGGGGTAATGCTCGGGTTACACAAGACATGCTTAATGTGACCTTGCCTTCATGTAAAGAAAGTAATGCTCACCAGCCAGATTTTTCTCATGCACAAACATGGTGAGCAGCTGTTTTGGTATGCACAAAATTGGTGACCCATCTATGCAAAAGTCCAGGAACGGAACAGTGACATACGTTGGGACTATCCGTATATTGATGGAGGATGGAAAAGAGAAGTGACCTTCTCACTCCTTTCTTTCCCACTAAATGCAAATGGAATTTAAAAAACAAAAAACAAAAAAACAATCCAGCAGCCTTATCTCCTCCTTCTGAAAATTTGAGCAGGCTAATTCCCTTTTCTTTCTCCCTTTCTACACAACCAATATTATCTCCTGCAGTGTAAATTCTAGAACCCACCAAGGGCCTGTTGGGCCACCAAAAGGGATCATTATTTTTAACTTTACTAGCTTGCCTACTTGTGAATGCTTCAGGAGTGCCTGGATACATAAAAACTCTTCTGGCAGGAGAAGGGACCCTTATTTGGCTAACAGAGGGGCAGGCACTCGATCAGCTGCGTTTAGCCTTAGAGGGAAGACCACACCTTATTCCTTACGTCGGGTTTCCTTCCTGACAGAGCACGGAGGGCAACTTACCTGCCGCAGTGAACAACAACAGCCACCAAGTCGTACATGCGGTCCAAGTTGATGGCCTCCCCAGATGTGTTGAAGAGTCGCAGCTCTAGGGGGAAGACCACTCGGTAGGAGAGCTTGGTGTACCGGTGCAGCTGCTCCATGTACTTGAACCTTTTCAGGTGCAAGGCGAGGATCATTGGCAGCTTCTTAACCCTCATCCTACAAAGCCAGAAGAGGAATACGGAATGAAGGAGGCACCCTCTGATCGGCCTTCCCCTAACTGGGGATCCTCTAGGTGTCTTGGGACTCCCCTAACCATGAGGCACCCTGGGCATGGTGGCTGGGAATTCTGGATGTTGCAATCCCAACATACCTGGAGGGTACCAGTTCAGGGAAGGATGCACACAGGCAGCATTTTATTCTATGGGTGGGTGTATAAATTAAAGTTATACAGTACTACAAACCTCTTTTCTCCTTCTCCCCATAACAATTAGCACTTTTACTTAGAAAAGGTTTGTTCAAAGAAAAAAAAACCCCCACACTGCTTTTAAAACAAAATCTATGGCTGTTCAGAACAATAAAATGGTTGTTTATCCCCTCTCTTCATTCTCCCCCCTGCCCTGTCAAAGCACCACGGTTATAAGAGATGTGAATCAACTTGAACATTCAAAGGGCTGAATAACTTCTTGGTTCCTAACAGAGATATGGGATCCATTCACAGATCTTTGGGGAATCCAGCGTGCAGGAAACTGATGGGTCCCGCTCAACAAAGTATTACTGGATACGCAGCAGAACAAGGATGAGAATACGACTGCAGAGACCCAAAATGGACCAAACACTGTATTGCTTCACACTATGGTTGGAAGATACTGTTCAGTGGAAGTTCCTGTGTTTACAAAATTAAGCATAGGAAAAAAGACTCCCATGAGGAGAGGGTGAGCCAGTCTCTTTCTTGGACATGCTGTCTTTCTGCTTGCAGGGAGAATCAGCAACATTCCTAACCTACCTTACAGGGATGTGAGGATTATAAAGAGGGGATCAGAAAGAGCTATGCATAATCCATGGAAGAAAACCTGAGCTGGAAATTAACCATAAATACATAGTTCCTAAAAAAATGCACTACCATGAGAGGGAATTCAAATGGTATGCCCAGTCTGCAAACTGTGATTTTATGACTCTACCATCTCATTCTCCTGCTTGTGGAGAACCAACTTTTGAGAGCCACGTGGAGAAGGAGAAATATGCCAGATTTTCACATGGGCCAATATTACCATCAAAGGAAGGAAGGAAACATTTGTGTTTCTGAATACAACCTTCCGTGGACGGGAATCGTATTCACTCGTCAACTGACCATATCAAGAAACAATGGGCATCAATCGCAGTAAAGGAGAATGAAATAAGGTGAGGTAAAATGAAGTAAGATGAGATAACATAGAGTAAGATAAAATAAACGAAAAGATAAAAGAATGAGATGAAATAGCGTAAAATAAATTAGAATACAAAAGTATAAGATGAGTACTAAAATACAAAACAGTGTGTGTTTAGATAAATGCATCACCTTTACACACTACCCCAATGTGTTCTATAAAACATGTTCTCAGTTGAACTATAAATTTAATGGTTCTAATGACTACACATGAGTTTGTGCCCTGAAGAAAGTAAGACGGACTTTTATGGCACTCCATGGACCAGTAAATACATCAATGGAGGTTCTGGATGACTACCATGCAACTTCCATTCTGGATGTCTGTGAAGTTTGTTAGGGAATGCATTATAATGAATAGATCTGTAATCAGAAGTTAACAGACCCAGAGATCCAGGATCCAGAGGAGAACAGGGAATTATGGGAGGGAACAAACTGGGTTTAGAGGCTGAACAGGAAGAGATTCTGGATGAATACAGGCAGAAATAGCCGAGACCTTTCTGTAAACAGAAACATTATTTTAATAAAACAGGCAGGACTGTGCTTTATCTGAGATTCTATTCCAACATCTGTTGAGGAAACTATACAGTAAAAAAACTGTCTTCAGCAGGGCCTAAAGCCAAAAAGATTCCAATTTGTTTTAACTGCTGCTTTAAAATCTGCCCCAAAAAGGCAACCTAAGCTGCACAGAGATGAGACAACCACCTTTCACATACCGTTTCTGAGCCTCCTGTTTGCTGCAGCAGGTCTCACAGTAGTATTTCTGTTCACTACACAACGTTTCTGTGTTGCTGAAATCTCTGAAAAGAACAGAGGTACCAATTTTTAGATGTTTTTGGATAGCACAGACCTGGCTGTGAATTGTTTATTATGCGTGGCTTTACGGTAGCTCATGAGTCACACTCGTGCACGCACAAACGCCAAGTCTGGGATGCTGTTACACAGTTGCCGATGCATAGGTAGAAGCGCTCCCCTCCTTCCTGCAATTTCTTGATGTATTCATTTATTTGACAAATACATATGGCCACTCAATTTAGGGTGGCCGGCCAGGCATAGAACAGAAGCATGCACATAAAAACCATAAAAAGCAATAAAAGACGCCAGGTAAAAATGATCAGCAACTTCCTAAGACTGTCAAACTGTAGAAAGCCCTAGAGATGACCTTGGAGAAACTATGGGGTAACAGTTACAAAAACATGAAGGAAGCCCAGGAAAGGAGAAAATGTTAGAAACTCAAATTTACAGGGGGGAAAAATCACAGGGAAGAAAACCAGGTGGTCTTCATGTTGCCCAGACTTTACCATTCACTAGTTGACATTACCTTTCTAGAGGGTGAGTTTGGGAAACCATGGGCGATAGTAACGCACTGTGTCTTCACTTACCTCCCTCTTATATCCCAGGGCAATGTTTCCCAACCTTGGCAACTTGAAGATGTGTGGACTTCAACTCCCAGAATTCCACAGCCAGCATGCATGCATTCTGGGAGTTGAAGTCCACACCTTAAAAGTGCCAAGTTTAAACACTGAAAAATAGTGAGCTAGACAAAGCAGTCTCCAGATCATCAATATTTCAAGCTGCAGCTTGAGAAAAATATTGCATCACGCATCAACCCTATCTAAGGACATCAAAGCATCTGGATGAAGGAGCCCACTGTATTCACAATTAAGCCCAAAATAAAATGTGTCCTTTCAGATAAGGCCAGGTAACTTACCTGCCCAAGGAGCTAAAGCAATTGATCAAGCGTGAAATAAAAGTGGTAAGAAGGAACACTAATATTGCCCAAATTTGATTCTGACAAACAGATGTTTAGTTTAGAAAGACTTTAATGTGCCTCTTCGTAAGTTAGTACTACTCCAGTAAATCTATATAAATTAAACACTGTATTTAATTCAACGGGATTTAATGGATGCTAAGAACTTTTTGTACAATTAAATGCTGTGATAAATACAGTTTCTAAAGCTTAGGAGCAAATACTTTGTATTATTTAATAGAAGGCTCTTCAATTGACAAATAATAAATGACTTTTCCAGTTGGTTTCCTTTTTGTGTATGTTATTTTCAACTATTTGCTTCTGACTAATCCTATTACAATCAATGGGACTTCTCTGAAGCAAATAACAGAGGCATTCAAAAGCATCAGTCTTTTGCCAAATATTCTGCTATACCATGTATACACTGACTTCCTGCCTGCCAAGAAAAGCTTAATTTATATTTCTTTATTTGACTTTTGCTACATCATTCTGAAACACCCATGTAACATTTTTCTTTTCACATCCTGCTAATATTTAATGACCATAAAGCAAAAAAGATGCTCCCCATTGTGAAAATGCATTTACCTTAAACAGTGAGTTATTGATGTGTTCTGTTCTACATCAACAGAGAGATCAAGAAAATCTTCATCTTTGCTACTAACCTGCCACAAAAACAAGAAGATTTAATAGCATTTTAAAGTATTGCAACATCTTAATTTAAGGCTAAATATCCTAAAACAGCATGGCTGGCTGGGGAATTCTGGGAGTTGAAGTCCACACATCTTAAAACGTGACTCAGGACTCAATGTTACAGTGTGAATCCTTCAATCATGATGACCAACTAGCCACAATGAAGAACTATAAAGCCATATCCTGAAGAAAGTTAAGAAAACACAGGTTGCATTAAGTTATATTGGTGTATTGCTTCACAGAGGGCAAAACCATGAAGAACAGCTTAAAATATCTGAAGTAAATAAAAACAAATGTCTAGGTCTTAAACCCAATTAACCCTTTCCGCAGTCTCAAATAATATTTATTTATTTATTTATTATTTATTTATTTATTTATTTTCAAATTTGTATTTGAATATTATCCTCTCCCCCAAAATAAACACCCAGACTCTCTTGTCTCACACAAGCACAAGTCCCAAACTGGATCTCTGACTCACAAACAAGCAATTACAAATTCTCTGGATTTGAAACTATGCACTTCAGAATGACTCTCGAACTTCAAGCAAACACAGCCCTTCTCTGCTCTCCTTAAAGCACCATGGCCACATTAGAACTGCAAAAAATCTGGACAACACTAGATGACATCAAAAAGTTAAGATTTCTCCGTATCTCTTTGCTGCCATCTAGTGGCTACCTTAGATCAGTTACTCTAATTAAAGCAGCCACAATTGTGTTCACCTTGCCCGTACCCCTGAACAAGGCAACTCTGTTTAAGACACACTTAAATGAGTTGACTTCTTAAATTGGTGGCATCTTCTTTCACGCAGAAGCCTAAAAAAGACATGGCTGCTTCAGTTAGCAGTGGAGAAGGGCTGTCTTTGTGCAAAGTCTGAAATGCATCTTCCAAATCACTTTCAAGCATGCACAGACTTAATCTATATACCTTTTTCAAAGTTGTAGACTAGTATATTAAAATTGTGTACACATGCTCTTTGCATAGATATGTGTATATTAATAGATATTTGTATATTAAAAGTATGTACACATGCTCTTTGCACAGATATTTGTATTATTAATAGATATTTGTACAGTGGTACCTCGGGATACGAACTTAATCCGTTCCGTGACTCTGGGCGTATCCCGA